GTTGGTTACATTAAGTTTTCAACATTTAGAATCGTGTCCAATGACATAGCATTTCGTACGCGGAAAATCGGAAATCTGAAGAAATGCGTTGTTCTCAGCAAAAACGGCACCCCATTTCCTTTACGTTAATAAACATTTTATGTAGAAAAATTGATTACTTTTACATACAAACTTCTTACAAATTCGATCACGCCTACATATTTTTAATAGCAAATCGCTGTATGAATCATTTATGCCTATACGAAATTTCCCGAAGTGAATTCACAATTTCGGCTTTTTTTATTAGTTTTCCTCATTTATTTGCGAAGCTTGATCATGTAGTTGAAAAAATTTCATTTTACTACTCTAGTCTCGTGGTTATCTTTTCTATAGAATAAGAAAGAGTAAAACTAAATTTTAATAAGTAAACTAAGGCTCCAAGAGCGAATGATTAAAACTAAAACGTTTTGTCTCCAAAACCGAGACACTCAATAAATTCCTTTGTTATTCAACAATTACTGGAACCATTATCGAGCTTCGACGTGACTCCGAGCTTATTGGATTTGGCTTACCACACAACTAGCACTTGGCAGTTGCCACTATTGCTTCTCCCTACAGAAATAACAATAAAAATAAAGTTAACTTCAAAAGTCTATGTAGTCACTTATATTTCAGTAGAGTTGCACGAAATAAGTACGTATTTTGGAAAAAAAAAAAACTTTTATTTTATTAGATGGGTAAACGACCTCACGGCACACCTGATGTTTAGTGGTTACTGGACCCGAGAGACATCATTATGTGAATTTCATCATCCAGCTTAAGACATTTACTGGTGGTAGAACGTCTTGTGAGTCCGGCCGGATAGGTACCCCAACCCCGCCTATTACTGCCGATGGAGCAGTAATGCGTTTCGGTTTGTAAAAACTGAGATCTTAGACCTCATGTCTCAATGTGCGTTCGTTGCAAATGCCTTGTGTGCTTCGGTAACCACTTAACATCAGGGGGGCCCAGAACTCGTCCAACTATCTAACCAATAACAAATAAAAGGAAATGAGGTCTATCTTAAGTGTATAGTAACTGATTCATCTTTCAAACCGGAATGTATTACTGCTTCGCTGCAGAAATAGGCCTGGCTGTTGCTTCCACACGAGTAAGTACCATATTAAGTCTAGGCTCAAAAGACTATCCACTATCACTAAATAATTTATTGAAAATAGGAGAATGGGTATACCCAAAACATTTTAGATAACTTCACTCCACGCGTAGACTGTGCTCTAGGAACATAGGTAAAGTAGGTTAATTTGTTTTTCAATTATTTTAAAATAATATTAAGATGTTTTAATATCGTACGGTCCCGTAGTAGTCGAAATTCGACTATAATTAATTGGAATTGTAAGTTTGTACACTATTATGACTTTATTTTATACTTCTATAATCACAAATTTCGCCAAGACTACACTATAAAAAATATTTAATCTATTCTCAATTTGACAACAGACGTCAAGAACAAAAGCTTGACAATAAATAGTATGCATGCGTGTGTGCGTCTAATATATGGTACATAGTGTGTGTAATGTTTTCTTTATCGATTTAATGTATCTTTTATGCATTATTTTAAAAAAATATTAGCGTTGTGCACTTCTTCTCTATATTCTCTATAAGTGTGGAAAATTTCATACTCCTCCGTCTGCGCAATTTTCGTAAAAAGGGATACAAAGTTTATGCTTCACGTATTAATATATAGATTATTGTTAATAATTAAAAATTTATTAAAAAAAATCACTATTATCGTACAACCAAACTTGATATTGTTCGAAATTAGTAATTGATTCTAATTTTAGACGCATGATGATAAAAGCGACTTCGCTCTAAGAAGAACCATTAAAATATATTACAGCGAAGCTCTTCGAACTTAAGCAGACATTTAGTCTATTGAACTCCGATTAACTATATTGAAAATAAGCATGTAATCAGTCAAACGCTAAAATTATGTTTCCTTCAGTTCACCTGACTAGTTAACAAATGAACGATTTGCTTATTTAGTTTGTTGTTATCACTACATAGTATAAAACAAAGTCGCTTTCTCTGTTATATATCTGTCTGTCCCTATGTATGCTTAAATCTTTAAAACTACGCAACGGATTTTGATGCGGTTTTTTTTAATAGATAGAGTGATTAAAGAGGAACGCATCCATTAAATGGTGGAGAAATCAATAATAAATTACAGTTTCCGAAGCGAAGCGAGGGCGGGTCGCTAGTAGGTAATTATTAAACAGAACAATACAGCTCCTCAATGTTTAATTTCAATAATTGTCTTAAAAAGGACCACATAATTTTGTAAGACTTTAAGTATATTTTCAAATCTAAAGTTGTTTGATGTTTGTTTAATATCTTTAAATTGTTGTGAGTGTATTGAATACGCTACATAACTGCCTAAAGTGTTGCCAGTTAAAATTAACGCTCATTTCATTATTATTAAAAATATTTTTAAGGTTTAATCTCGCATTCGTTATTATTGTTATATTATTTCTGATGTTTCTTACTGTATAGTTTCTGTGGTAATAGACGACTGAGACGTCGTCGATGTTTTAATAATGTGTTATAACTGCTACCGCGCTTATAATGACAGTAAAAAAGACGCGAGAAAAACTATAAAAGATTTTTTTATTGCCGTTTTAGGCGGACGAGCATACGGCCCATCTGATTATGAGTGGTTACCGTCGCCCATGGACCTCAGCAATGCCAGGGGCAGAGCCAAACCGCTGCCTACCCTTAAGTACTCTCCAGAAGCCTTGTTTGAAGAAGGACATGTCATAGCGCTCTGGCAACACTGTGGAGGGCAGATCATGCCAAAGCCGGATGGTACGTGGCAAAAAAGATCTCTGGAAACGCACTGTGGATGAACGCAGTGGCTTCAGGTAGTATGGATGAATTCTACTCCATGATTTTGAAAGTGATTTTAAATAGCCTACGACTCCCGAAAAGCGAACTTAATACCCCTTTATTTACTTAAAATCTATTCAAATAGGATATAATATTAAAATATTTATTTTCGTTGGGCTGAAAATTTATGCGAGACCGTTTTATATCTTTAGAGGAAACAGCTTTGATCCCGTACCTGATTAATTATGAGGGACTAACGTATGTCGTGTTTTACATAAATAATGTGACGCACGCAGAGACTTTAAAGAAACGATCCATCATGAGACACCTGGTTGGTTCCCAAAGAAATGTAAAAGCTTTAAAATTTTCTCGACACTTTTCACGTAACTTCATTCGTGGCTTTAATTATACCTGCAGTTTTATTTATTTAAAAAGCACGCTTCCTGTAATATGAATTCCTGTGTATCAGTTAAATATTTATTTAAGAACTCATTGTAATTTTTTTGCTGTACACAATTTCTTAGGAATATTTTTAAAGCACTTTAACAATGATAATAAAACTAAAGAGATTTTACTAATTTTGATTTTAAAATATGCGATCCAATACGTGTTAAAGTCCAATTACAAGTATTTTTATTTATTTTATAGCTTAGGTGGGTGGACGAGCTCCCGGCCCACCTGATGTCAAGTGGTTACCGGAACCCATAGACATCTACAACGTAAATGCCGCGACCTACCTTGGGATATGAACTCTAAGGTCTCCGTTTTACAGCTAATTTCGTTTTTATTAATTTCAAGGGCTAAAGATGACGAACTCCGTCAATTTCAAATTAAGAGCACCAGCTATAAAAAATTAACGTGAGCTTCGTCGGAAACTAGCTACCAAGAAAATAATATTTTAAGCTCGTGGCACGATAAGTAGCTCGTGGCCCGACGAAAGCTTCATTTTACGGCAGAGTCGCTTCAACACTTAAGAGGAAATGCGGGTTGCGCTTAGTCTATACAAACGGATTTCCCTGTTTCCTCCCTGTATAATGACACTGCATAAATATTTAATACAACACAATCTATATATATTCGCTTGCCTGGCATCTATCGAGTAAGAATACCCCGTTTTCTTTATATTAATGAATTATAAGTGTAAAGAACTATCTGATATTAAGAAAAATACGTATTTTCCGTAATATTCTAGGCATTTCATTCGTATGTAACAAATGCGAATAGGTTTTACGAATAAAATAAAAAAAAACACAATATTTAAGGCATAAATAAAGTATTACTTAATTTTGTTTGAAAAATATTACAACATTCTAATTTTAGAATTCGAAATGTCTTCTTTTTATAGGTATTTTTAGATCAAGCGAGGTGAGATACTCTTTCAAATTTTCTGTGCTCATATATCCTCTTGACTGATAATTACAAAATTAAAATATTTAAAGGTATAAGAAATTACAATATAATAGCTCCATTTCCGTTTGTCAGGTTATTGTACGTCTTGATATCTATGTTTCGAATTAATATTTCGATTTAAATAAATTACAATTGGGTCTTTGACACTGACGTAATCTTATTATCATGCTCGGAGCACGATGTAGGCTATGGTACGTGACTAGAACGCGTAATTCTACTAAGATTTAACAGATCCCATCGTGTTTATTCAGCACGGCCTGACCCGGGCTACCTGCACTTACTCGAAGGTGATAATCTTATGTGAATGTTTATTTATTTATGTTAACTCATTATTTGCAAAAACATATGCCTGCTTTTAATTGATTATTTTTTTAATGCGAATTTTATTATAATATATTATTTATTATTATAAACCAACGCTTATAGATGACTCTTTATATTACTGTAGTCTTTGAAACACCGAAAAGAATAATAATATGTGTATTGACCATAATAAACGCGAGATTAAGCCATAAAATTAGGTTTACTTATATCGCGAAAACGGTAGAAAATACCGTAGGTACATTTTATTAATAATATTCGCCTTAAGTAGGCTTTCCTCAGAGAAATAAAAGTTCTTGTAAAATTCATTTATATATAATAAATAATATATTATATATATATAATAAATGAATTTTACAAGAACTGGTATAATAATGGTCGTTCAAATTTGTATTTCTTTTTTTCAGTACATTGGAACAATGGATGTGCCTCGACCGACAAGCCGCGTTGAGATTGTTGCTGCTATGCGACGTGTTCGCGTAAGTACTTCTTTTATAATATTGTACAATATTGTTTCTTGTTTCTATTAAACGTGGGCATAAAATAAAAGCGGTAAGCAGCGGCTTAGCTCTACCCCTGGTATTGCTGAAGTCCATGGGCGACGGTAACCACTTACCATCAGGTGGGCCGTATAGCTTGTCTGCCTACTAGAGCAATAAAAAAAAGAAAAAAGTTGTTAATTTTTCTTTTAAGCTTCAATATATATTGTCTTAAAAAAATCACGTACAAGTAGATGCGTCATTTATTTTCATCATTTCTCAGTATTAGACAAGTGAAGAAGGTTTTTCCACTGAGAATAAAAAATGTGTCTGTTGTCTGGTCGCTTCGCACTGAATAAAAATGGCTCACGACGGCTGAAAATCTCTAATCTGAAGATTGAATAATTTATTATTGTTTGCGTAAACAACAAGGGTACAAAACGAGCCCACTTCTGCTTTCACCTACCAATAGGATTTCCCTTCGAGAAGGAATTTAATAAAAGAATTCGTTCAAGCGGACGCGCTCTTTTTAAACAACAAAAAAAACATCTATTACTCTCGACTTCTCTCGAATGTGTAATATCATTCCTAAATTCGACGGTAACTTCGTAACGTTTGATAATTTTCTTCGCATTTTCTCTTTGACGAAGCAAGAGTAATTTTGACAATGCTCATCCGTTTCGTGACATGAAATTTAAAACATTCAGAAATAAAATTGCACACTCACCGTGCTATGTATTACGATATATTTACGGAGTGCAAACAATGAATGAGGGGATCATAAATAGTTAGAAATTTTGGACGGCATTGTTAGAATATTGAAGTCGTCGTGGCCTAAAAGATAAGACGTCCGGTGCAATAGTGTTGAAGCGATGCACCGGTGTTCGAATCCCGCAGGCGGGTACCAATTTTTCTAATGAAATACGTACTCAACAAATGTTCACGATTGACTTCCACGGTGAAGGAATAACATCGTGTAATAAAAGTGAAACCCGCAAAATTATAATTTGCGTAATTACTGGTGGTAGGACCTGTTGTGAGTCCGCGCGGGTAGGTACCACCGCCCTGCCTATTTCTGCCGTGAAGCAGTAATGCGTTTCGGTTTGAAGGGTGGGGCAGCNACTATACTGAGACTTTAGAACTTGTATCTCAAGGTGGGTGGCGCGTCTACGTTGTAGATGTCTATGGGCTCCAGTAACCACTTAACATCAGGTGGGCTGTGAGCTCGTCCACCCACCTAAGCAATAAAAAAAAAAAAAAAAAAAGTTGTATGTTTTAAACTATGAATTCACTTCACTAGCAAATGTTTCACTAGCAAAATTCTCTTTTGTATGTAATGATTAAAAAAAATATATTTCTACGATATGTTGTCTAATATTATTTTCATCTGAAAATGTCTAAATCTGGATGTCATTAATTTAAAACAATCCTAGGGAATTAACAAAGAAGTACAAATTTGTTTTAGCTTAGTGTTTAAAAGAAAGATCTTTTTTTTTTTAAATTGTGTTTGTTAATTTTGACTTGCTATAGCACTTGTCAATGGCTTCTGAATTAGTGCTTCCAATCGGGAATTTTAATCTAAAGATCAAGATAAACGCATCAAATTGGTCCTCTGTACTTGTTTTAAGAAAAAATATTGTAAATTAAACCCTTGAAAAAAATGGTTTCTGCTTGTCATGAGAACTTGGAATGAAAAATATTGTATTTATTTATAACAATAAGAAATAGTCCGTAAATTGAGTCAGTGGCATGATGTTGACAAGGCAAATTTAGCACATTTTCAATTAAATATGACGTTAACAAATAACCGCTATTATCGTAGGCAAATGTGGTTCAGAGATGGGTCTGATCGTGTCATATTGAAATGTGACATGACATGCGTGGTGACGTCGTCACGGCTTGAATATAAATGAAACGCAGCCGCCCATATTTACAGAGCAACTGAAAAGCATTGCACTGTGTGCGAATTCATCTTTTCGTAAAAATTTCCGGCCCACTGAATGACATCGAAGCAAAGGTGTGTTATGAAAGGGGACCTTTTAGGAAATTTCGTGAATATTTTCCCATTCACCTCGAGTATTTTTAATGGAGGGAAACTCCAGACCAAACTTTAAACAACATTAAGTAGGAAGGGATCGTAGTTAAAATAAGGACCGTGAATTTTAGCTACAAAGAACGGGAAAACGAAGCCCTTAACAGTATCGCTATCCTGACGACCCGTAGACATTTGCAAGTCCATTTCAAGAGCCCAACCATTTGGCGTTACGACACTTGAATACAATTCCCTCATCCAAATGGGTCTTTATTATATTTTCATAAATTTGATATTTATTGGCTTTTGACGTTGAAATTCCGTTGTTCCGTGTAGTAAATATATATTTAACGATATTCAAACGATTTTCAGTATAAAAATGTTTATGATGTTTTAATAAAATACTAGTTATTGATTTAATTTTTCAAAAATTTAAAGCTGTTTATTACTCGAACATACTACAAATTATTGAAATATTAAACACATTTTCAAATGAAAATCATCATTTTTATGATTGTGATAAGATTTAAAAAATCATATCTTATCTTATTATTTCGTCTTATAAGCCATCGGAGATGCAAGAAAAAAAATGGCATGTTTCACATCACTCCAATTTTACTAATAACTTTATAATTTAAGCACCCAGTTTCCCATTAAAGATTTTTGAAAGACTTATACATGTTACTTATAAGTCCGTCATGCTTCAGACCTACTTTTGTCAGTACATTTCATTACGCGTTGACCCTAACTCTAGAGTTCACATTCCTAACTACTTTAAAATTAACACTTATTGCCTTCTTATAGCTTTATTGAAATTATCATCGCTTAAGTAATTAACGCTTACATTACATCAACTCGTGGATCTGGGTATGATGAGCTATACACATTTCCATAATCCGTTTATGTTGAATGAATACTAACATTATTTCATTATCATTCATGATACAGTGATAGCTGGAATTTTCTGAGGGACGCCTCCTATATTTCTTGTATCGTATACATTACGCGTTGAGCTCTGATTTTTGAGCGTTATTTTTGTAATATTAAATGAATTAAAATTTGCTTAAAATCATAATATTTTTTCCGCTTCTTAAACAGCAGAAAAACTTTCAGTTCATTTTACGAAAGTATATACGTGTATGCATGCGGTTGTAAAGTGGTTCGAAATAATGCAATTTGGTGCGCAGGCGGTAGAAATATTTTAGAAAATTAAAGCCTGGCTCGGTGAAAACAGAAGCCGTGAATCACTTGATGCTTGCTCTCCAGGTCCTAGTCTTCTCGCGAATTCCTTAATAGTGTTTTAGCGGGAAACAGGAGACGAGTTCCTCACAAATTTAATTGAAAGTTCTGGTACGATGCGTACCGCTGAAACACAAGCGGATTTTAAATTATAACTTAATATTTTTAGTTAATGTTGCGCGTTGATCGTAAAACCGCAGGGCTGCGAATGGAGCGTGTATGAGTTCCAAATTTAAAATTAGGTTCTTTAGTAAAAAAACATTTTAAATTAACGTCTTCAAGGACGATTTATTGTATTCCAAAGAGGCGGCTTTACAGGTGTATACATTTTAAATTCATAGCAGTGTTGAAGATAAGAAGGGGCACATTCAATAATGCTTTATCCTTACTTTGAATGAGTTCAAAACGTTAATACAATAATAACGATGAGTTAAAATAAGATTCCCGGTCTTTCATGAGATAGTGAACAATAGAAGCTGTAGATATAAAAGTTGTTTTTTTTTTCAGTATGAATTCAAGGCTAGAGGAGTGAAGAAACGCAAAGTGATCGTAGATGTGTCGACTGATGGCGTCCGAGTTACTACCAGGAAGAGCAGCAAGGGAAAGGTCAGTGATCTTTGATTTATCGAATTTGTACAATCAAAAGACAATTAACAAACTTCCTTTTAAGTTATGATTTTTAGATGTAAGTTTTTTTTTCTAATTTAAATGTAGCCTCTGATCTAGTTAGATTAATTAGTCTACTAATCAACTAGAAACATTATATTTATCACTACATAGTATAAAACAAAGTCGCTTTCTCCGTCCCTATATCTGTCTGTCCCTATGTATGCTTAAATCTTTAAAACTACGCAACGGGTTTTGATGCGGTTTTTTTAATAGATATAGTGATTAAAGAGGAAGGTTTATATGTATAATAACATCCATTAAATAGTGGAGAAATCAATAATAAATTACAGTTTCCGAAGCGAAGCGAGGGCGGGTCGCTAGTGAAGAATACAAGGATTTATTTAATAATTTTATATGTAAACTAATAATTCATTACGCGACATGCGTAGCAAGCATCGCGTCTCAGTATTTATATGAAACTCGTTTAAATATATTAAATATATTGAAAGTAAAATCGTGAAGCGCACGTCGTTTCGGATTTGAAGTTAAATTGAAAACTTCGACGGTTTCCGACCGACCGTGGGCCCTATTCATATCGGCGCTAAAGCAATTTCAGTGGATTTTGGTGACCTCGCATTACCGCACAGCTCGAGCAATTTACGGTTAAGTCTTACAAACGGAAAGGTCGTCGAAATAAATAGAATGACCCACCGACCCTAAATTTGTCTTGAGTGAATTACGATAGCGTCATTAGAAACAGAATCGTTAGAGATAGGACGCGCTTAAAACTGATGGAATTATATAAATCGGATTACGCAAATATGTTCATATAATGTAAAATGCATGCAAAAGCAAAGCAAAGCAAAAGCAAGCAAAAAAAACAATAAATTATATTTGAAATTGAAGTATCATAAATTTCAAATGATTACAATAAATATATAGATAACTAAAATTCCTATTCTAAGTAAACGTTTTGTAAGTAACAGTTGAGCGGAATATGCTTTTTGGAATCCGTCACCTTATAGGTTACACTAAAAAACTCTCTGTAGTTACTCATACCAAATGACCTTTCATTTTCTGCCATGGAAGAAATTGCTTAATGCGAACCGCACCTTCTTCTTCTTCTTCTTCTCACCATAGAAGATAGACATCACCCTGTATGTAACTGCTGCCATTAGTCCTGGCTTAAAAAGTGCGTCACTTCAATCATGATAAAGACGGTAAGCAGCGCTCAGTAGATAACGGTAGGCAGCGGCTTAGCTCTGTCCCTGGCATTGCCGAAGTCCATGGGAGACGGTAACCAATCACCATCAGGTGGACCGTATACTCGTCTGCCTACAAGGACAATAAAATAAAATAGACAATGATCAAAACCGATGGTCGAAGGTTCTAGGTAAATTGCGACGCGCTCTAAATACGAATTATTTTATTTTCTATTAATTTAAATTCATAACAAGGAAACAACGTAATGTTATCTTCAATAGTAATATACTTAAACATAATAATATAACTCAACTAAAAATATTACGTGCCATGTATTCGCTGTACAAATAAATGATCCCAAATAGATTACCAATAATAGTGTAATTTGATGCTGTCTGAACTGAAATAAACAAAAACGTTCTCTTACATAATAATGTGATATTCGTTTCGTATAAATTCAACATATACCTATCGAAAATGATAATCAAATACTGACAAAGATACAAAAGCGTTGAACGGACCCGTATTTTTCGCCTGGACATTAATCATGTCCCGCTATAATAGGGCGCCGTCAAGTTGCCTTGCCGTGAGCGAAGACTAGGTAGGTACCTATCCATTGTAACGCGATCTATTGTGACCTCGGGCTCTTCTTCGGGCACCCGGACATTACCTACTACTTAGGAATTATTTTAAATGTGGATAAGAATTTAAGATTTTCTTCGGAATGGCATTTATATTAACATAAATTTAAAATTTCAAATGCTAACAAATACTTTTAAAAAAAAAACGACAATTCCTTTATTTTCATCCGGGTGATGGAAGGCCGGCTATCCTCAACCCACGCTGGTTCTAACCCAGCGGTGTATTCCGTATGATAGACAATTCTAACCGGTGCTATCCAGGCGGGCTTCAGATAGCCTGCCGACCGAGAGGACTGGTGGTCGTGGCGCCGACGACCACTGATCCGGCGTCCCGAGGGGGAGGGCGATGGGATAGATGTGCTCCGCACTAAACGCTTCACTTTCCCCCCTTTGCCTTTTCATGAGTTCTGTCTCATGTTTGGATGCTGCTTGTTGAGCGACAGGAAGTTTTAGTCGGTTTAATTCCGACATCCTCGCCCTCCATCCCCAGTGGAGGGCGGAAGTCCGGTGATTTCCTCCTGACAAAAAAAAAACCTTTATTTAGGATTTTAAAAATAGTAATTAACTAGTCAATTCAATAAAAAGTACGTTATGTGATTGATAAAATTTAATAACGCTAAATAAATACTGTTCAATTTTTGCGTTTTGAAACAAAATTCAACATATAATATTATTTTTATTTTAACTAACATAGAGAACCGCTTATAGAATACTTATAGAACTTATAGAATAGGTAGGTCAGACATTGCACAATACTATTCAAACTTCGACCTCATGCCTGAAGGTAAGATGTGTATGTTTCATATTTAAAGGCAATCTTATCGGAATTCCCGGGCGATGTCTTGTAATTACGTCTCAAGGCTCTGGAATAATTGAGAGCTATTTTCTAAGTCTCAGAAGCTACACAAATGATGTACGTAACTCATCGCCTACAACGTCACGAAGTCATATTTTATCAGTTAAATGTAATAGATTAAATAAGGTGGCGCAATCAATTTTCTTACTAATGTACTGAATAAATCATTGTTGTATAAAAACCGTACCGACTTTTATACCTACCGATAAGATTTCGATACGACAAAATGTTAAAAATTCCTTCCGTGAAATTGTACAAATCTTAGCAAGGGAAACAATTTCACGCAGAACACAAAGGACACGTTTGGAAACGCGTTTACGTGTACAATAAAATAAAGAGATTAAATGAAGTACAGAATCATATATAATTGAGACAGCTTTTATGACAGTCGTTTGACTTTAAAACGTTTTCAAATCACGGGAAAAGATTGATTGAGGAGTAGGCAGATGAAACGGATTTAATTCTGAAACTAATCCACTAAGTTGTAGAATTATTTTTATTTTTCTTATCTTTAAAGTTTTGTCATTATTTAAACATTATTTAAAAAAATGTGTAGAAACTATTCAGTAATTTTGCACGAATAAGTAACACCATCTTGCCAATTTCTATCGCAAAGAAGTCAAGCGTTCCTGGTTTAAAATACGGGTTAGCCGTTTTAATCAATAATATAATTAAAAAACACAAAAAATTTAAACTATTTTTATATTCCGCCAACAGAGCGCCGGTGCCAAGCTGTTTGGTCGCAAGAATAATCAAGCCAGCGAGACAATTGAGATCATGCATCACCCTATCTACCGCATCTTCTATGTCTCCCACGATAGCTCTGACTTGAAGATATTTTCGTACATCGCCAGAGATGGGGCTACTAATGTCTTCAAATGTAACGTTTTCAAGAGCAAGAGAAAGGTTAGTGATTATTTTTTATTATCAATTTTTAATAAATATTGAAAAGAAAAAAAGGATAAAAGATCTCAGAGTACAACATTGATAGACACAGCAAAATAATTAACACAAAGCTCTGGTTAAAATTAAAAACATAACGTTACCAACAACTTAACTACACTAACAAAATATGATGAGAATACTTCCACTATGAACGTATACCTAATAGAGGCTGGAATCGCATATCGCTGTTTTTTAAATTGACAACCATTAATTTATGATTATTTATTTATTCTCTTTAAATCCATCATACCTGATCTTGTAGTTTTTGTGTTTATTATAGTAGATTTATACTAAGTTTATAGAGGGTGTTAAATTACTACAATAGTTCGTTGAACGCATTTGAAGTAAAATATAAACAGTTTTCAACACTATCAGTGGCATTCTTTAGATTGAGTGATTCAATTTGTTTTGGGCATTCTAATTAAAACTCAATATAAATCAAATTTACATAATTTAAAATCCCGTAGACAGGTAATAATTTTCATAAAGAAATGTATACCGAACATACGTCAACGAATGACCTCCACGATAAAGGAATCGTGTAATAAAAATCATACCCACATGATGCATAAATTTAGGTAATTACGGGACGTAGGACGTATTGTAACCGCGCACATGTGAATTTATTTTGCATTGCGTATTTAGAATCGTACATTGACTTTCAATTCACGCCTTTAATAATGTATTAAGACTTGAACAAAAATAGCGGCTACGTTTTAAGGAGCAATAGCAAATTCTCCGAATTTGGTTTTCATTAACAAAAAAACCAAATATCGGTAATGTCACAGCCACGCCAAGCTCGTCAACTTGAAGTACATTATTCTCTTGTCTTGGTCAGGCTTACCAGATATCTCGGGGAGTTTTGCATAATGGATCGCAATTTCGTTTTGAGTAATAAGAATGAATTGAATTGAATCGTTTTTTTAAACAATCACAGCATTGTAGTGTACTGTTTGTTTTTGTTTAAAAAAAACACGTTAATATCTCTGAAAATACATGTAAATACATATAACAAATGCGCAGATAACTGATGAATCTATTTCAATTGTACGTACAGAGGTATGCCGGTTTTTTAACAAACAGAGAACTATTCAGCTATTATCTTATTAAGATAAGCAAGCAGCTGAGCAGAAGGGAATCTAAGCTTTTATTATTATTTACTTCTTTTAATTCTTCGATTATTACTTTTGTATTAAGAGCATCATAATATTTATTTCATGCAGCACTTCGAAAAGCAGGTAAGTCGTTACGGTATCAACAATGACGTTGAAACTGATAAGTTTGCCAAAAACCATTGAAATTATCCAGCAACCTTGCACAAGTTTGATTGGAAACAAATAGAATAAACGAAGAATGACTTTATTTAAACACCGCTGGGACTAAGTCTGCCTGCGTGTGCTGTTTATGAAGATCGCCTGGGCCCATAAACACGAGCCCAGCTATAAACCGCAGCTGGCATATCACTCGGCCATGGAATATGTGAAAATTACGCTCGACCAAATAGCCTGTCCCGAGACAGTTCAAGCCAACATTGATAGCCTCACAAAATTGAGTAGCTTATTAGACGTTCAATATCTATTAAATTATTGACGAGCGATAGTTCCAAGGTTGTATAAGCAAAAACGTACAGTAACTCATGCACAGTCATGACTCAATGTTTTGATCCAAACGCGCTGAGTGAATTTCGATTGCAATTACATCACACGAGTCGATATTTCGATCGTGTGTCATGCTGCTACGAGTTTTAATGCTGAACGAGCTAAACTGATACAGCTTAATAACGAACAGCTCGTAATCGCGTAATTGACTATTACGTACTAAAATGCTGTGTGGGAAATGCGTTACTGAACGAAATTGCGGACATAACCCTTAATACTTTTTTTATGAAAACGTAAATCAAGCAATATTACGGCGCAGGTCAATAATGGCATACGGTCTCGTTAAAAACCCTAACGTTCATCGTTGTGGCGCTAAGAGAGAATACTTGAGTCGACTATTATCAAAGCCGGCAATGTGACTTTTCGACAATTATTGGTAAATCAGAAAAACGAATTATTGACTTTGTACTCCATTGGCAGTCATAAAACTCTTCTGAACGACATCTTAGATAAATAACAGGTTAAGTATTAACCTTTATTTAGTGCAGGTTTTGAATTGTATTCTTTGAAGGAGACGATTATATTCAAATCAATCTGTATCGCCATATCAATAAAAATTTTTTGTCCAAATACACAGATTGCCATCTTTGATAATAGACGACTCACTTAGAGCAAAATGAAAAAAGAGTTTAATAGCTCAAGATAGAAAACGTCATGCATTTCGCAAATAGAGAAACAACTTTATTATGATGTTTTCCTTTGACGAACACGACCTCAGTGCGCAAATGAATTTTTTCATTAACATAATTCTAAAATTATGCGACGGAACTTAAAGAGTTTTTTGCATTCGGTAGCAAAATTGTTTTTTTTTTTTTGTTAATCTCTCCATGAGAGTTCTGGTAACATTTTGCGGTCATTAAATGTCAGTTACTTCAGGGAAAGTTAATGAAAACTTCATATTTCCATAGGCTGGTTGATCCTAACCATTTTCATTTACATTTTCCAACACATGGCTTATTTTCAGTTAATATTTCGTACCTATATTAACATTATATAGACGATAGTGAGTTAGTTTCTTCGTAACGCTTACATGTCTTAACCACATAGCTGATCACTCTGCTGGTGCCGAGAAGAATATCCAGAAAGAAGTATTATAATCTAGTGATATTTTTTTTCACTGACGCGAGTGAAGATAAACTTGTGATTGATATAAGTTATTGCTTAGATGGGTGGACGAGCACGGCCTATCAAGTAATTACTGAAGCCCATATACATCAACAATGTAAATTCCGTTACCCACCTTGAGGCATAATTTCTAATTCTGAGTTTTATAGTACAACGGCTGCCCCACCCTTAAAACCGAAACGCATTACTGCTTAACGGTAGAAATGGGCAGGGCGGTGGTACTTACCGTACGGGCTCACGACATGACATAACTACTAGTTAATGTTTTAATAAACATTATTTTCTTTCGTAGTAGTGCATTTCATTCCGCATCATATATCACATTATTTGTCAATATGTATATCATTTATACTATAATATTATAAAGAGGAAAGATTTGTTTGTTTGTTTGTATTGAATAGGCTCCGAAACTACTGAACCGATTTGAAAAATTATTTCACTATTTGGAAGCTACATTATTCCAGAGTGACATAGGCTGTAATATTTTTTGAAAAAAAATAGGGATCCTTACTAAAACTTCAATAATGTAACCCAAGGTATAAAAAAATTACCTAAATATTCTTTGCATCGCGTGCCCTGCAAAAACTATTAATGATAGAATCAAATAATGTACTACGACTTTGTAGAAAACAATATTAGTTACAAAAGTGTCGCGCCAGTATATGTCTAACTATTATAGTTATGCCGCAATAAGTGTTCTTTTATTTAAAAAAATAATACAACGTCAAATATCGCTGAAATTTTTGTTAAAGACACAAGCGGAGCCGGAGCGGGCCGCTAGTTATCAAATAGAATTTGAAATCTTTTAGTAAATTGACTTGGCGGCACTGTACGATTTTTTTTTTAAATAAATGAAAAATTCTAAAAAACAAAATTCACACTATGATTACAGTACGAAAATAGAAATTTAAAATATAATCGTATTTGTTTCAAAATTAAAGTATTAATATCGTAAGTGCGTGACGTTAGTATACTTATATCACTCACGTAAATCATAATAAAGTACGGATCAAAGAAATTCATTCATCGTTTCTTATTGATCAATCATCCAAGATGTTTTATCGAACGTCTAGTTTATTTCTAAGACATTTTATTTACTGATTGCTTTTTTCAAAATAAGGATCGGTAAAAAAAATAATTGTTTTATTTTACAAGTCTTTGCATTTTTTTATTATCGCCGACAAAATGCGCTATAACTATATTTATGTATGTATGTCTGGGTACGTAGCCTTTCTAACATAATTTACATGTCATTGTGATGTATTCTCGAGATTTTATCATATAAATTTAAATCGAGTATTGCTTATCTTTGAAACAAAGTCCTCGAGTTTCGTGTTCTTACAGATAGATGCTCGTGAAAGATTCTCCTTTTTATAGGCTACAAGCGGCCCGCTCCGGCTTCGCTCGGGTCTTTAACAAAATTTGCAACGATATTTGACGTTGTTTTATTTTTTTAAATAAAAGAAAACTTATTGCGGCATAACTATAATAGTTAGACATATGCTGTCCCAACACTTTTTGTAAATAATAATGTGTTCTACAAAGTCGTAGTACATTATTTTATTCTACCATCAATAGTTTTCGCAGGGCACGCGATGTAAAGAATATTTTAGGTAATTTTTTTACACCTTGGTTTACATTATCATTATTGGAGTTTTAGTAAGGATCCCTAATATTTTCAAAAAAGATTATATAGCTTAAGTCACTCGTGAATAGTGTAGCTTCCGAACAGTGAAAGAATTTTTCGAATCCGTTAAGTAGTTTCGGAGACAAATAAACAAATCTTTCCTCTTTATATTATTAAGTATAGATGTACATAAATCTTATAGTTCACCACCTACTCGAGTTTTATAATCAATTACCGTCTCGAATCACTCGTTCCCGTACGCCATAAATATTCAAGGAGTAACTGAGTTGTTTGCGTTGAATCGTTTGCGGCCGCTTTTTAATTACACCAATTGATTACAGAGCGTTTTATTATACCCACAGATTACAATTATGGCCCCGTTATACTCATTTTAGTTCGAATAGGCATATTTTGTATCCGTGCGCACCTTAAAACATCAACAAGGAAGCCGAATAGAATTTCTGACTAACATTCAGTTTCAGTGTAAATTTATTTCATTGACGACGCGTCACACCCGAGCCCATAAATCATGCGAGTCTTTGAAGTACTGA